AACTCATCTGGTAACTTAACCAAACACATGATAACTCTGGATATAACTGTGTATTTAACTGTTACTTGATTTAAAAAGACGTTATCATGCACTGCTTTTTATGGTCTCCATTGTGTTAATAGATGCCAGGAAAACATCACTTACGGGGTTCAAATAAACACCCCCAAAAAAAAATCGGCTCGCCGCTTTGCGGCTCGTGGACGATGCTCCGCATCGTCATTATTGGTCAACCCCCCCCCCCTTAGCAAAAAGCTAGATCCGCCCCTGCACTCTTTAGTGGATTATTGTCAGATGATACAGCACAGATATGCAACTAGGAGAAAAGAAAGTGGCTTACTTTTATCAACCAAAATGTAAGACAACGCAAGGGCAATTTTGTATTTCGTTTGTAGGAACAAAGCTGTGGAACGATCTGCCAGATGAAATTAGATTAAAAACATCAAGATTATCTTTTCGGAGACATCTTTCCACCTACCTTCTATGTAAATGACGAGGGCTCAATCCAACCCCCTTCGTTTTTTCCTTTTATATTACTTGTCTTCCTTTTATATAAGTATACACTTCCTTGTTAACGATTATAGCGGCCTTAAGCTTTTACAGGATTTGTGCATGTACGAACATGTGTATGATTATTTTTATTAATACATCCTTTTCATTTTTATGAACACATTGATGATTTTATTTCTTCAAAGATTTGTCTTCTTTCATTATAATGCTTTAACGCTTAAGCTTTTTTATTTTTATTTTTTTCATTTTAGTAAAGAAAAAAAGTTACATGATTTGTTGTATATGTAAATACAAAACAAACAAGTTTTACATTCATATGTAAAAACAAATTAACAGAAAAAAATCTTGCCAAAGAATGGAACTAGGCTCGACTAGCACTTGTGCTAACTTCTAGTTCCCATTAACAACTTCACCTAAACATAGTAATATACATATCCCAAGACGAAAATCCAATTGAATCCCCCTTGAATGTCCCCATTGAATCCCAATTGGCAATTTGGAGTAAATGGAAAGTGAAACAATGGGTACCCATTGAAACCAATTGGCAATTGGTCCCCATTGAAACCAACTGGCAATTGGTTTTAATGGGGACCAATTGCCAATTGGTTCCAATGGGGACCAATTGGTTTCAATGGGTACCCATTGTTTCACTTTCCATGTACTCCAAACCCGGGACTCCAAATTGCCAATTGGTATTGAATTGGGATTCAATGGGGGCATTCAATGGGGATTCAATTGGTAATCGATCCAGTTAGAAGAACCAGTGATAAATTACTGATACTTCATAATCATAATCAATATTGGCAACTGTCCACCAATTAGGTATATTCCAATCTCATTTGCATTAACTTCATCACATAGATCATTTGAAGTGAATTCAAGAGTTACATTTAGAGTAACACAGGCTCGTACACATATATATACTAAATATGCATGTTGTTTCTTGGTTAGTAATCATATAATCAATATATCTATTGCTAAAACGTGAATGAAATTGTAACATGATCAGACAAAATAATCTATTGGTTAATAATTGCCGAAGGAAAATAGAAATCACAAAATTGATGTGCATTGTCATAATTATTTTGCTTAACAAATCATGATAAATTTTTCTGTGACACGTGTAAAGTGATAATGAATATTCATGAGATGCCTAGATGTGTTGGTTTCTATTGGTTTCTGTCGGTTTCTATTGGTCCTATTGGTCTTATTGATTTTTTATTGGTCTTATTGGTCCTAATGGTTTCTATTGGTCCAATTGGTTTCTATTTAGCATTGGTCCTATTGGTTTCTATTGATTTCAATTGGCCCTATTAGACTTTAATGGAATTTCAATTGGTTTCAATTGGACCAATTGAAGTCCAAATTAAGGCCAATTGGTCCAATTGAAACCAATTGGGGACCCATTAGAGTCTAATGGGGCCTAGGCCAATGGGGCCAATGGGTCCAATTTGTCCAATGGGGCCAATCTGGACCAATTGAAACCAATTGGGGACCCATTAAAGTCTAATGGGGCCTAGCTACGCCAATGGGGCCAATGGGTCCAATTTGTACAATGGGGCCAATCTGGACCAATTGAAACCATATGAAATCCTATTAAAGTCCCATTGAAACCTGTTAAAACCTATTGAGACCAATTGAAACCAATTGAAACCAATTGAAATTTCAATTGGTGTTCAATTGGTTTCAATTGGATTTTCGTCTTGGGATATACGTATATATCTTTTGTACATTTAATAGTATGCAGATGTATGTCTAAAAAATATCGTTTTAAATCCATTACGGTTCAATCGACATTACTCTTATGTTATGTATACATGTATCAGTATTATTCTTTGCATTGTATGATTGTTCATAATATAATGTACTGTCATTATTGTGATGTGTTGTTGTTAATAAATTCAAATTCAAATTCAAATATTCTCGTTATACTAGGGAGGTGGCCTACATTCCTAGGAGGAATCCTAGCTCTTAGTACCCCCCCCCCCGCTCTCTTTCTCTCTCTCTTCCTCCATATCTTTATTTCGACTTTATTATTATATTTATTAGCCTTTTTGAACTGATGTTCCTAACGCGAGTATTTCAGAAATCACTTTAGCAAAAAATACCGTATCATTGACATATTGAAATATACCCTGCGCCACCTGCACCACACCACCATCTCGGCGCCGTTTCATGTTTCGAGTCTCCCGATTGTCACTTCATATTTTAAATTGTACAATATGACGGTAATCACACCACAACCTGCATTGCCACCACCACCACTACCACCACTACTACCACTTTTACCACCATTGCGGCGCCATTAATTTTAGCCTCATTTACAGCCTTGCGAGTTGCGGCGCGGCGCCACGATTTATGGACATAAACTGCCTTGACCGTGGACTGGTCAAATTATGTCGATTTATAAATACATATTATCCTCCAATTTATAGGTATATTCACTAAAACCATCCGCGTGTGCCCTCTCTAAATTGCATTCAGGTAATAATCTTCCTGTTTCATGTTTGAATGAAAATAAATTCTAGGAAAATATTGATTTGTTCTTTCTAATAACTCTATTCAACGTTAATGAAAGTCGATGCTCATAATATTATATCTTACATTTTACGTGTTAATATATCCATGCGCCAGGATTTGGTACATACATTTTTCGATGTAACAAAAAATTTCACGAGCAATTGATGACTATTTGTCATTATATATAAGAAATAAGTATTTTTTGGTGTCTGTAAGTTGTAATCATCTAATTATCATGATGACTAAAGTAGTTATGTTTTATGAGAATGCAGCGCTGAGAGAGAGTGCTGCGGCCATTACTAATAACGTGTATTTTTGGCATATTGAGGGAACACCCATTGTGTGTACATCATGACATGAATCTTGTCCGCTGGCAATTGAATTTTTCGTCCATCCGATTCACTAACGAGTTAATACATGTAGATGTTCGCGATGGAAGGTTTGTAGCGTATTTTCTTACGGAAATTTATTAAATTCTTCATATATTCTTGGATTCTGACATTGGATTTATACCAGGCTTCGTCATGGGGAATTGTTTGCGTGGATTAGGACTCACAAAGAGTGACAAAAACTACAATCCATCCCCTGCAACGCAGGGATCTGGGGGAAATGATGTCGGGATGCTGCCGACTTCTCCGCCCGGAGCTCCCGGGTCGCACATCGTGGTTAACGCACCTCCTCCACATCCATCAGCAGGGCACCAACCCTACAATATAGGACCAAGTAATGCAGGACCAAGCGGTCGGATTGAGCCTTCAAATCTGAAGAGATATGTAGCCCTGTTTGATTACGAAGCAAGGACACAGGATGATTTAGGTTTTAAGAAAGGAGAAGAATTGGAAGTTCAGAATGACTCTGGTGATTGGTGGCTAGCGAGGTCAAGACTCACCGGTTTAGAAGGCTACATCCCTTGTAATTATGTGGCCAAAGTGCAATCTTTAGAATCAGAACCGTAAGTATAGGCCTACTACATCTATATCAAAGTCTATTTATGTTTATTCTGTCGTTAAAATGTTTTTATCCTGTCATTTTTTAAGGCAGTGCATCATCAAACAGATAAATGTCATGATATTCAACAGCCTACAAATATTTTGATTAGGGGTTTACAGTTCTTGTTTAAAATAATACATTTCCCTTCATATTTTTGCATTTATATATTTGTATCCATATATTTGTATAATATTTTGTCATTATCACCTCTCTTTTACAGCATTTATTTTTGTATTTTTGTCCATTCATTTTGATTTAAAAAAAAAAATGTAGCGTATATTTGCATAATTTATAATTTGCCATTACTTCAAGGTTACAAGCAGTATCTACATGTACTTCAAGTTTGTTTGATCATATTTTAAAGAAAGAAGATGTTGTTGAGTTGTAATACATTGTTAACGTGATCTTATAAATGTGCAATTATATTGTTTGTCATACAACTGCTCTTACTGATGTATTTGTTCTACATGTGTCATACAGTAAATTTATACTTTTATTATCATGACAGGGCTCTGTGCTAAGCCCCATTGTAACCCTTGCTGTTTTCTTTTCATCAGTACCAGTTGCCTATCAAAGTGAATGACATTATACTATCATATCCTTTATTGCATTGAAATGTAAATTGAAAATTGAATGCAAAGAAAAAAAAAGAAGAAGAAAAAAAGTTCATGATACATCTCCATGTACATTGTTCATAGGTCTAATTGTACATACATGTACATGTACATGTATACATGTAGGCCTACAGTATTCTCAATTTTGTGTGTGGATACATCGGTACAGTATGCATGTGAAGTTTGGTTAGTTATGGAGCATGAAGTTAATTGTGTCCAAACTGATTTGATCATTTGTAACATGAAATTATAATGATATAATGGGGTGTTATGTTTTCCCCTCTCTTCTTGAATGTTTCTTTACCTTTACCTTTACTGCAAATACTGGAAGAATGCTGAGACAGCAGTCAAGCTTCCAGGTCTATCTTCTTGGTCTATCTTCTTGTACTCATACTCTTTAATGATAATTCACATTATATGCAAGGGAGGCAGAGGGGCATGATATTTTTTTGTTTACAGACCACAAATATGAAGTCATTGAGATCTTTGTATGATCTGATTCATTGAAACAGGTCTTTTAAAAAAAAATACACCATGACTTTGCAAACACATGTCCTCAGGCCTTTGCCTGTCAGAATGGTTTTGACAAAGGAACCACAAATCGTCAGGCTGTACTTTAGGTACATGGACGTACATTAAAGAGGAAGTTAAGTATTGACAATAGGCCTACTGTTGCGTTGTGAAAGAGACTGATTTTGGAGGCATTAAGAATGCAAGAAAGTGGTGAAATATTTCCAAGAAATGTGATTCATACAAAGTTACAAACAATGGAAAACACGGTACATACAGTGCATGTACTACATGTAGATATTTACAGGAACATTCAACACTGCATGGCAAAAACATATGGCATGATTGGCATCAAGTACAAATTTGTAAAGTATTTCCATTCATTATTTGAAATGTGAGAGCCATTTGTAGAGCAGTCAATGTCATTGGACATTGTACAGTGTACATGTATCTTTCCTTATGTCTTATGATGATAAAAAAAAAGAATGAGCTAATTCAATTAAACATGACCTTTTACAAGAATTTGATCCTTTCTTTTATTTAGTATGGGAAGACAAAGGGCCTCGATGAGCAGGCAAGACTGTATAGGCGCGTCCTCATCATCTCGAGATTGCCAAATAGCCTGCTATTTCTGATTTGGGAAATAATCCCGAAGTAACAAATCGCGTCTTCACTATCTCGAGATTCGACCTCGAAACTTGAAACTCGACCTTGAGAAATTAGCTCAAGATATTTTGCTCAGCGTTAGCGCGTATTGCGAATCTTCGGTCTAGCGAAGACGCATGTGACAAATACATGTAGCTGGATATTTTGCCAAATAGTGGGATATTTTGCAAACTATCCTAAAATATATTGGGATGACAATCCTGACCAAATATCCTTCTAATTGCTACTTCGGTCTGATGAAGACGCAAATTAGCTGGATAGTTTGCGATTGGGATAGTTCAAATAGCTGGATATTTGGCAATCTCGAGATAGTGAAGACAGACCTTTTGAGGAAAGATAGCTTGACTTGTTTTATTGCCTGATTAATGACCAATTGGAGGTACTCAGCTGTTGTGATGGGCAATAGTCAGAGATTAAGAGAATTAATGACCAGTTTTGACCACAACTCTGGCATTTCATTAGGTCTTTGGAGTTTGGACTGAAATTATCCTTTTGTAAAAGGTCTTAAAGTGCTTAGGAAAAAGAAAAATGTGCAACAAATTACAACAGTTACTACAACTATCAATGAATCAAATAAGTATGTTTTAAGAGCAATTTTGAATTGTAAAAGTGTTCATGTACATTGTACAGATGTTTCATTCACTTCAAAACTGTGTTCCACAGTCCCACCAGTTCTGAGTCCCACTGGAAGAACGGGGAAAAAGATAAGTTGAGCAGGGCTTGTGTTTGCTTTGAGTATCTTGGGTAACAAGTGCGGGGATGGGGGGTGGGGGGGGGGGGGGGGTCATAGATTTTTGCCCATAATTAATAAGAGCTGTTAAAAAGTGTTTTTGAAACAAGTATACATGCATACATGTACATGTATATATGTACATGTACAGTACATCAATCATAATGTTAAAGATAACACATTTTTGTTGGTTTAAAATGGTTACATATTTCTGATGTTTACATATTTTTTATGTACCTGCTCAATTCATTGTTTTTTTTTTATTTTCTTGCTTTAAAGCAATATTGATTCAATTACCATGTGAGGGAAGGGGAGGGTGCTAATTAGAGCCCCAAATTTAAAGTTACAGGAAAAAAAGGCAAGTTGTTTATTGAAAACATGAATGTTCTGTATACAATACAGTATCTTTTTATTTGCATGGAAGCCCAAATGCAAGGAAATTTGACACATTTGTTTTTGGAAAAAAACAATTTTTCCTGAGGGAAAATAGACATGTTTCTGTTTCTTTTTAGTATTAGAACAAATAGAAGGGAACCTCTCAAGACTTGCCAATTTGTGTTACTTTCTTATTTTTAATCATATTTTGCTCAAAGTTTCACAGGTATGTTCCTTTTCTTTGTCTGCTTTTATATACTTTAAATGAGGATGGACTTCCCCTTTACACGTGCACCAAGAACACATGACACAATAACATGCATAGTAAACAGAGACTACCACATGCTGCTCTTTCTCTTGAAAAATGATATCTACTGAGTACTGATCCATGCATTTCACCAAGCGCTGGAATATGGACCATCGATTTTCATCATGAGCTGGCCGCTATTATTGCAACCTTCGGCTCACTAATTGCATTTCCCGAGACCTAATTGAAATTCAAAATGAGTTCAACTATATACAGTATGTGTGCAAGATAGGCAGAATTCATTCAAGTTCTCCAGTTCATGTTTAATAGCCTGGTTTGACTCTCCTATTAAAATTGCATTAGATATTATACATGTACAATGTAGGCTCAACGCCAGACTTTTGACATGGACTTTGCACAGGTCATTTCATGTACAGCGAAATCTACTTTGACAATTGCCTGTATAAAAGACTACCTGTCTATAATATATAATGACTTCATTTTTTTTTTACCTTCAATAGTACTTTTCATTGAAAACAACCTGTACTTCTAAACCACCTGCCCAGAAAGACTATTTTTTCTCTCACTGTCTTTACAGCCTTCACTATATTGGCAGCAGGTCTACAACATTGTCTATACTTTAATACTGTACAGTACATGTAGTGAACTGCTATTAAACAATACACTTCAATTTTGAATGTTTGATTCTATGCCAAAATTGAATGGATTAAAAAATTTGAAAGTATCATTGATTTGTTGCTAGGAAAAAAAAAAAAGATTATATGTTGGAAACATCTCTCATTTCTAATTTGAAGCAATTAAAAATATTTCTACATGTGCAACTATGGTAATGTTCATGTACATGTAATTTCCTTCATACATACTGTACATTGTACATGTAGTTTGTTCGATCAAATTTACACATTTTTATACTTTTCCTGCTTCACCTTAAATACCACAAAATTTCATAATTCTTGTGTGCATTGTTGATTATAGTAGTGAGATATTGTACACTTTTAAATTTGTTGCTTTTATTAAAAATGGATCCCTTTTCTCTGGTATATATATATGCACACTACATGTACATAATACGCAGTACATGATCAGGGGCTGTGGTCCAATTGGGCATTTTATGTTTATAACTTTATATGGAAGTTACTGAACTTGTAAGCCTACAAAAGTGCCATTTTAAAACTTTTGTTTGGCTGAACTGAACTGTTTTTGGAGTTCTGTGAAACCTTGCTTGTGTTGACAATGCAACACATTAAAATAATTGAAAGAGTATTAGCCATTTCTATTGACCTTCCCTGCTAAATTAACAGCCAACAGCCAGTTCATAGTCCTATACAGAGTACATGTCATGTTTAAGAGTTTACAGAAATTTGCCAACAGTGTGTTTTTCATGCATACTACAGTACATGTACCTCCGTTTTTTCTTTTTCTTTTTTTCCAAAGATTTGATTATTATCAAGATGGTTGCCTGCATGAACTGATTTTTTTTGGATAAAAAGTCTGGTAAATTGCAACTCAGTCTGACACCAGGGCTGGTTTACCCAAAACTTTTTCAGTTTTTCCAGGGTGAAATAAGGAGCAGCATACTGTACATGTACATGTACACGTACAAATGTACATACTTGTACATGTATCTTTTATTGTGAATGATCAAGAGAATGGTTAAAAATACATACAGGTGTACTTGTACATGTAGATAAAGGTACAGTACCGGGTATGTATTTGAACACTTTTGTACATAAAGTGTGTACATGCAATTCATATATATTTCATACATGTATGTTCATTAAAATAGTGGTTTGTTTATA